TATGGTTCAGAACAGATTAACCGTAATTACATTGAACCTTATGGGGAAATTTGATTCGGGTTGCGACCAGAATTGTGGAACGAATTAAGTTCATGAACTGAGGTACCACTGTAATTCCATGAATGAAACATGAATATGGCATAATAAAGAAAACAAAATAAAGCACAACTTCTATTATTTATGTCCAGACCATAGACATACCTGGTAGAAAACACTTCTGCTTACCTGTTCCAGCTTCTTCCAAAATAGCCACCAAATCTATGCTACGGCTGTAATCATAGCTCAGAGGCCTGAACTGTGACAATTCCACAGAAACAGAAAAGCAACCAGTCTTGTCAGTCTAGAAAATGGTTGAGGGAGAGCAGGGTGGATTATTCATTCATTCATTCATTCATTCATTCATTCATTCATTCATTCATTCATTTTCATTTGACTTATGTCTGCCACAATCAAGAAATCACAATTTCTTAGGGCACAACTCAGCATGGAGGTCAAAATGGAACTGAACGTGAAATTCAAATTCAACCCATCCAAGAATTCTTCGTTTCTCGCCTGTTATTAGATGTGTGCGGCAAGAATGAGAAAATGCAGAAGAACACAAATCTGCCTGCTTAAATGTTACTGGAAGCTAGAATCCAGCATAACCCTCACAGTTAGCTCCACATTTCACTGCTCCATAGGAAAATAGACAACGATTTAATATTTACTTCATCGGCTTTTGGAAAGCCCATGGTTTGAATATATGGTGCAAACTTTTTCTAATCTGCACATTTAAATCCATTGAGGTTACTGACAAAAAGCACAACACTTCTAGAGAAACACTTTGCTCTCCGTGGTATGTGTTTTAAGGGAAAGTTACATTCCCTTAAGCTACCTACCAGCAATGAACAAGTCTGAAGCTAGCGGTGGGTATGTCCAGGACAAAATATGAATAAAGTTGCCTCATCCTCTAATCCCTTTTTTCTCTTCTATCTCCTCCTGGTAGCCCTTTGTAGTCTGCCAGGAAAGATGATTGTATGGATTGCTTAATCTAGCAAGAGGGATTTCCCCCCCCCCCCCAAATGTGGCGACAACAAGAGGAAGACAAAGGAAGCACTGGGCTGACTCCTTACTCCAAAGAGAGAAATTTGCTGATCAAGAGAAAGCAGAACTAGGCTCCTATTTTCCTTGTTTTTACATGCAAAGGAAATGGTGATTTGAGTATAGCCTGGGATGTGGCGTGGAGTTTGTTCTCTGTTTTCTAGTACTGAAGATTGTTACCTAGTCAGGTAACAAAACGTCTGCAAGAAAACAGCTAAGCTCAGAGAACCCAAGGACTCTACAGGAATACTTTAATTCAGTTTCCATTATCATGCAGGAGTTGGCTTTGATGACCTAAAAGCCTCTTTCCAATTAGATTCTACTGTGGTCAGCAAAGTGACTGAGTGGGACAGGGATTCAGACAACTCATCTCTTTACCATTCCTACCTGGCTTGAGTAATCCTGACAAATATCTGTTGGTGCTGCTGTATTAAGTGGTCTCCAATAAAACTGGTAAGCTTTCTGGCACAAGGATACTTGCAGTAAACCCTGAACAGGCTTGCCATATGTGTAGCTGGAAAAGAGGGAAAATGAATATAAAAAACACTGTCCTTTTCTCTTCTTCTACATGTGAACAGTCCAATGCTTAAAGCTGGCATTATTTTTTTTTTCTGGCAAGGCTGCTGTGCCTTTAATAGCTGTAAGTGAGAAATTTAAAATGAGTAGCTTTTCCCGCCATTTCATTTTTATGTTGTTGAAATTTCTGGCAGTCACAGGGTTGCTAAAGAGAGAAAAGCCCTTCCAAGTTGGCAACCATATTCCTGCCCTACTGTGTCGCTGTCACAGTCATGTCCACACACCCTACATGTGCCTGAATTAGAATCCCCATACAACACTGTAGTACTTTTCCATTCTACCTTGCAAATCACACTGTTTATTGCTGAAGATGATGATTATTTATTATGTAAATAATAAAATATTATTTACAAACTATATTCCACATAGATCAAACACCAGAGTTCTATAAAGTGAACTTAAGAATTGTTATTCTGTACTACATGGGACCCATGTAACTAGCCCTAATCTCTTAGATGCAGACCTGTGATATCAATGAAAATTGGAACTTTTCCCTGAAACAGCTAGGAAACTATATTATTTACATATAAATAGTTGCTTCTTGCTTTTGTGATGAATAAACCTGAATTCATTCCAGACAAGTTACGATGAAAAATAAGACAAACTTTTTCTTGCGGTGCAACAGGAAAAATTGGTCCTCTGAGATATATAATTAAGGAATTCTTTAAAAACTCAGTATTAGCACAACTCAAAAAAGAAGAAAAAGAAAAAAAAACCCAATCCATTTGTTGTAACTCTGGCAAAAATGGGTGTGCACAGGAACACAGAGACTCTCAGTACAGCCGTAACTGGGGAAAGGAAAATTATATCACTCATGCTCATAGTTTTCCATATTGTGTTTCCTTTCCCTTCTTTCATTTATTTGTTTCAAGCTGCAGAGTTGATGCAATCAGGAAAATGTAAAAAAATGTGCTCACACGACTTGGTTTTGTCCCCAACTCCTTCTGTGATAGCAGCCTTTTCTCACGCCATCCCATCCATTTGGGCAGGAAGAAGTGCAGCATTAAATTTCTCCCAGGGCAGCAAAACAGCTTAAGGCAATCCTAAACTAATCTCACTACCAAATCTCACACTGAGTGGGTTCCAATTTCAGGGGAAAAAAACAAACTGTATTTGAAATCTTTCATTTTCCCCTCATGGGAACCAAGACTTCCATATTTATCAGATTTTTATCTCACTTCACATCAAATACGGTGTCATTTCATGTGATCTTCACCACAACCCTGTGAGGTAGGCTAGGGCTCATGGCCATAATGACCTAGTAGTAACTGTGCAGTTCTTTTGTGCAACTGCATTCACACTGGCATGGCAGCACAGCAAGGAATCTTCAAATTTCAGCGGTGCTTAAAAGTTTGTGAACCCTTCTGAATTTTCAATATTTCTGCATAAATATGACCTAAAATGCAATCTGTTCTCCACACAAGTCCTAAAACTAAATAAAGAGAACCCAATTAAAGAAATGAGTAAATAACAAATACTTGTTCATTTATTCATTGAGGAAAATTATCCAGGTTAGGAATTTCAAGGGGGAAAAATGTCTTTTAGTTGTTTGGAAAAACGCCAAGGGAAGGATATATCAAGTTACATATGTTAAACCATTTGTACAGTGAAAACTGCAAGTAGGAGAGGCATTCTGGTGGTCACCTAACATGGTGTCAAACAGACTTTAGGGATGACAGCTGGGGAATTGTCCAGTCTTGTTTGACTCAGTGCTGGGCAGGGGCAACATACTTTCACGTTCACGAACCCTGTGATACAAACCTGCCACAGACTTTCAGAGGGAAGTTGCCATCTGCTGAAAAGATTTTTGTGGGTTCTACAACCTTCACCTCAAATTTGGGGAGCACTGGAGAAGAAGGAAAGAAAGAAAAGATGAATAATTTGGCTAACTACTGATCAGGCTGAAGAATGGCCCAAGCTCTGGTTTTAAATTGGTCAGCTCTGCTTGTTTTTAAATTTTATATAGCTTTCTTCTATTATTCTTCCCAACCCAATGGAATGTTGGAAAGAGATTATGTCAAGGGGATCAAGGATCTGTCTCCTTGTCCATCAGCAGGATAACTCTCCAAAGAGCTAGCAGAATGGGGCCAAATTTAGTATAGGGGGAGAAGTCATCAAAAGAAAGGCCCAGTTTTAAAATAGGCCAGAAAAATATTTCAGAAAAAAAATTCCCTAGCATTTTCCTTTGGGAGAGGCAGTTGGGCAGCTGCTCAGAAAATTGTTGACTAAGCTATCCTAAGCCCGCCTCCCTTCTGGTCATGTGACCTTCAGCAGAGTTATTCTTCAGGGTTTGGAAAGAATAAGCTCTAACTGCTTTCCCTAACTTAATTGTTTAATTTTTTTGTACAATGGCAGACCACCAGCAAGGGTTTGTATTTCTAACAATGATCAAAAAACGGAATGTTGTTATCTAAGAGTTTTCATGATTCTGTTCTAAAGAATGTGTTCTGAAGGTAAATCCTCTTCAAAATCCTTCATCTCTCCCAACATCAGGCACCAACTGGTAGCCACGGGATGTGGCTGAATGCTCAAGGCTCCCCTTCCTGAGGCCTGGACCAAGGGAAAAAATTTCAGGGTGTTATGATGAAAAGGTCCCAGACAGGGCCAGAATGCATCTCCATTCCTGTTGAAAACGTTTGGATGGCTATCTTCAAATAATAGGCAAAAGGGGTCCAATTCAAGGTGCTGCTTTTGATTTTTAAAGTCCTTCATGGCATGGGGCTAGGCTATCTGAGGTACTGCCTCTCCCTGATTTCATCTGCCCATCCTACCAGAACCAGCAGAGGGCATGTTATGGGTTCTGCCACCTACGTTTGGCAGGCCCCAGGCGGTGGGCCTTTTCTGCGGTGGTGCCCACCCTGTGGAATCTTCTCCCCCCTGAGGTGAGGTAGGCCTCGTCAGTGTTGAGCTTCCGGAGGTCCCTTAAGACTTGGTTATGCCAGCTGGCCTGGGGACCCCACGGGACAGGGGAATTAGTGAGGTGGC